TACATTATTTTTTTCTATGTATTTCTTACTCTGCAAATTCCCTTAGTGTCTCCTCTCCATTTGAATTGAACATGTACATTTTCAAGATTGATTGCTCAAGTGTTCATTTCGTCTATCCTAGTTCAGCTGTGCTCAAATTTTAGCGGGCGTAAGACTGACTTGGGGAGGAGGACAGGGTCTGGGTGTTGTAAGTGCAGATTTCCTGGCAGTGCCAGGCGGCTCTGCGCCAGTAGGTGGTAACATTAGTAACAGAGGGAAATCCCGATGCAGGTGGAGAGTAGAGCACTGGCAGGGGCACCTGCTGTCACTGTTTTGACCCTTATCCCCTCTGAGCCCTTGATCTTCTACACAATAATTCTGATAAAAGTTCAGTAATCTTACCCTAAGTTCCTTATCGTGAACTAATTTTAATTTTCACAAACCTTTTACGAAGCTACTTTTGCACTCCATTTTTATATTTAGCACAGGATGCTTCGGTTCCTTTTCCATTACCAGCGTTGCCTCCCCTAACTTTTTGCACCATCCCTTCATCTTTTCCCTCCCAATACACCTCCCACCCACTTCCTTCCCTCCCCTCCAATACATTCCTCAGTCACCGTCCTGGGACATTAATCAGTATAACCCTGACCCTGCTCCTAAGTTGGTCTGTGGGAGCGGAGTTAGGCAGCAGGCATCGCTTGTCCCACTTTGGCCCCATAATGATGAGCACCTTACCCAGTGAGGCGGAAAGATTCATTTTCCACAGTAAAAGCCAATGTTGGCGTCCAGGGTGAAATAGTATGGTATGGGAAAAGATATCGCCACCACAAAATAAGCTTAAGTAGACATAAATTTCATCTACCTATTCAGTGCCTGACTCTTAAACATGTCATATATTTTCACAGTTATAGCTTCTTAAATGGAAAGGTATGAGTACAATTTAATTATTGAGATAAAAAGAATATAGCAAAACTCTGTTTTATAGTGGTCTGAAATTTAAACTGAATCCAAACGAATTAAGTATCAATCAGACAAAACCAGCAAAACTACAACATATCTGCTTGGACAAAAAATATTTTCTAGGGTGTAAATAATATAGCAAATCATAGATCAGGAAAATTGAAATGGGCTTCATAATAGTTTTCTACTAGTAAAACAATTAAAGTGTATATATGTGAATATGTACATTTTAGTTTCTATTTATTTAAATTCTTTAATATCATTTCATTAGAACACACACATAGTCACATGTAGGTGTGTGCATGTTGTTATGGGGGTGTCATGTTTTGGAGATATAAAGAAAAATAAAGCAGGTAGTGAATTAATATTCGTATTCATATTCTCTAATTAGTACCAGGATACAATTGAGAAAAGGATTGTACATCCTGAGCGAACCTCCCACTTGGGCTGCTTTTCACTGGTCCTCCTGCATCCCCATCCTCTAGCATTGACTTGCTTTAGGGCTCAGTTCTTAGAACTCCTCCTTTTAAAAAAATCTTCATGTCCTTCCTAAATAACGTCATTTAATCTGGTGGTTTAAACACCTCAGTTGTGCTAATGACCCCCAAATTCACATGTCTAACCCAAATCTATTTTCCCGAACTCCAATTAAAAACAAAAGCCCTCTACTCGGGAGGCCCTGTGTTAGCGAGAGGCCAGTTGAGTCGCCAACGTGGCGTACCTGGTCCCACACTTGCACAAGGTGATGAGACCATCCTCTCCGAAGAAGACCTAGCAGTCGACATTTGGTTCGGGCAGGATTGGAACACAAGTGCATGAAAGTGGACGCGGTTCTGGACAGCATAGCAGAGGCGCTTAAACATCTGGCAGTTACTCATCTTGTGGAAACTACATTAGTACCTGACTTCAACAAAATGTATGAGTTATACAATTCGTGGACTGTGTTCTTTTTCTTCAGTGACAAGCACATCAGGATTGGCCTGGGTACTGGCAACAACCAGATGAACCGGCCAAGGAAGGCAAGCAGGAGATGATCGACTTCATGGAGATTTTGTACCTACTGAGGCGCCGGGAAAGGCTGGCCTGCTCATATCCCTGAAGCACTGACTTCTCTGTACAAAGTACAGATACTGAACGCTTGTCCCAGGTTCGATGTGGCGGGCTGTGCTGTGGACTCATGTTCACGTGGAGATGTCTGGAGCTCTCGAAACGCTTTGAGGAAGTGTTTGGAGTTGGCCTGGCACTGTACTTTTATGTTTGCAAATGTCAGTAAGTCTCTAGCTGAAGTAAACAAATACATGGTGATGGGAACAGTCAAAACAAATAAACAAAAGCTCTCTTCTTGATACCTCCAACTCCCGATGTCCCCCAACTGGGCTCATCAGTTCCCCATTCTTAACCACCAGCTCCTACACTCTTCCCAAAGTAGCTCACAGCAAGTCCGTCTGCTATGGTCTACGTGTCTTCTCTTTCTCTCCTACCCTTTCTCCAATTTTTCAGAAAATTCTGCCTTTTCCTTCAAAACACATGCAAAACCCAACCACTTATTTTCATTTTCACTGCAACCATCCTGGTGCAAGACACCATCACCTTCTACCCTCAGGATCATTACAATAGCCTATAAACTTCAGTCCTTACTCTAAGACAGTGATGGCGAACCTATGACACGCGAACTCATTTTTTTGGTTGATTCTTCTTTGTTAAATGGCATTTAAATATATAAAACAAATATCAAAAATACACATCTTTG